ACTCACTTTGCTTACTTCTTAATTTCTAAACGAATTAATATGCTAGGCAAATTGAGATCTCACAGCAGAACTTTGCTTTTCAACAAATTCTTGCCTTTTTTGCATACCAATTGGGAGATCGTGACTATCTACAGCATATAGTTCTCAATGGGCTTTTTCACATATTGGTAGCTGCACAATCATTATCCAAAAAAAAATTGCGGTCTCACCCTCACTCATACACACATGCATACACCACTCATATGCATTCATTGTTTGTTTTTGTTGTATGAATAAATTTGCGATGTATTTATATTTAAAGTTGTCTTTTATTATGATCTAACCCAATCATTGAATCCAAAAAAAAATGATCAGATTTGACATTAATTTGGAAAATGAATAAGTGAAATTAAATTTAAAACTTCGACAAACTCAATGTGAGAGAAAACTAAAACTAAAACTTTGAAATAAGAATTTGGTGCTTCAAGGGTATTATTTTCCTCTCAAGAATTTATAAAAAGATTCCGTGAAATGTTTTGCCTACAATTTTAATAACTTGTTTGAAATCTTTGAATCTTGCTAAAAAAATTATCTGCGTGATTTTCTCAATTTTTTTTCGAAATAATGGATCATCAGAAATTTCTCCGTCGAATTTAAAAAAGTTCAAAATGCAAAATGAGACGATGCTTTTTTTAAATAAAATTTGACGATATCCAGCGAGTTTTAGTGTCTTTTTGTAAACAAGAAAGAAACATATGATTTGCTATCTAATTGGTGACATATGCAATTTAAATTGCTCTGTTTTAGTTATTTTCAAAATTTTTGGCTGCAGCATCATCCAGAAAATTTTATCTGAATTGTATTGTTTTATTTATTTAGAGCTGAATGAAAAAAAAAACTTTTATAGAAGATGAAAACAAGTGGTGTGAGAAATGTGGTTGCCAAGAATTCCCATTTGATGTTGTACGTGTCAGTTTTACTACCTTGTGGAATTTTTCATATATTTTTGTAAGTACACTATGAGTGACTAAGAGACTACATTTGGGTAAAGAGTTGATGGAAACGGTTTTTAAAAAATGTGTTTATTGTCCAGAAAAAAAACCAATCTTTCTCCGTAACGACCATTGAAACTTAGTTTCAGATAGACATTGCGGCGGCCAAGGAGCACTCTCTTTATGAAAACTAAGCAGCGTATTTTTGGTTCCAATTAGGGGTGGATCTAGGATTTCCTCGAGGTAGGCAGAATTTCAAAAAAATTTTGGAAAATTTTGTCGACTTTTTTTTCTTTAGTTCGACCAAATTGATTTTCCCAGTTCTCCTAAATCACTAAAAAAAACCATTTTCACAAAATTTTCTGCGCCGCAGTCAAAATTTTGAAAAAACAGGCCAGAAGCGTTTTTAAGCATAGAAAAATAGAAAAATTTTAGGTTCCGTCACCAGAAATGGATACCTAAAAATAGTACAAAGGGAGGACCCTTTGGTCGGCAGGGGGTCTAATACCCCTCCCCCCATGCCATATCTGCTGGTGGTTCCAATAATTGAAAATGGAGAAAATCTTTGTATTCGGGTGTGCTTTAGTTTTTTCCTTTTTTTGTTTTCCACGCAAAATCAGGTTCCTCAAATAATCATCGGAATGGGTTCAGTGATATATCATATTAAACCCTTTCAGTCATGATTCGAACGACGTTAAATCATTTTCAAAAAAATCCATGTTTCGAGAAAAACCGGTTTGAAATTTTTGGTTTTTCAACTAGTTTCGACCAACTAAATTGAAGATAATTTGTTAAATTGGTAATTTAGGCTAAAAACCATGAATTTTTCTAAGCGAAAATAATTTTAAAACTAAATTTGGTTTTTACCTGATAAGATACTTTTTAAAAATAGAACAAAATATATTTTTTTTTTCATTTTTTTTCTATTTTGTTATTCTCTTTTTTTAAGACAACTATGGCCAATTATGCCTAACTTACAAACTTTTTTAGCGCGTGTATAGTTATATCATCTCACCTCGTACCAAAAGCGACACTAATTTGTAGAGCTTAATTATAATTTGAAGAATTTTTAATTGTAGTTTTTATGAATATGGGCGGAACATTTTGTGCTACTTGCACAGCAACCGGTTCTCCTTGTTTGAAGTTTTCTTTGTTTTCATACTCAGTTAATAATGAAATTAAGATTAGTTTATAAAGCTCAGTAAAGCATGTCGCCTTAGAAGTCGGCTGAAATTTTTTTGCACTTATTTTGCACTTATATGCAAAACAGCGAACTCAACATTCCACAAGCTTTGCTTTGATTCTTTTATGATTTTAACTCGCTCAGCAAAAACTCTGTCTAACATAATATGTATGTATGTGTATATTTGATTCAAAAATTGTTTGCTTGTAGATGAAACAAACGCGCCTAGTTTTTGAGGGTGTTTAGTAATTCTAATTATTAAAATTCCATTGTTCTTTCTTATTTTCTGAAATTCTTTTTTCAGATTTTTTTTTCAAAATTTGTCAAATTTGAGTGCCTAATTTTTTTGTCAACGCTTTCTTGCAGATGGTCGATCTCTATTCTAATCATTCAAACACCGATTTTTTGTTAATAAACAGCGTATCAACAAAAGTATAAATTATACACAGAAACGCTTTCCATTTTATCCATGTTTCTAAAAAAATTTTTAGATAAAACACTTTATTATGCAAAAAAACGCGGTTAAAAAATTACTGAAACAAAGAACAAAAAGCGTTTGTTAAAAGTTTATATTTTAAGTAACATTTTTTTGTTCTTTGTTTCAAATTTTTCCAAACCACCTTTATTGCTTAATAAAGGTTTTATTTGTCGAAGATTTTTTCAAAACATGGATAAAATGCAAAACATTCTTGAGCATTTTTTGCTGATAATCTGTAACTACTAGGGCCGTGCCAATTATTTGCTGAAATTTGACCTAGAAATGTTGTTCTGACCTCCGAAAGACAATACACTTCGTTCAATGCCATTTTTGATAGTTGGGTTGGATTCGTAACAGCAAAAACAGTCACTTTTTACTGGAGACTCGCAGCAGCTGAAAGTCAGGTATCTGTTGTTTCGAAATTGAATTTTGACTAAAATTAAATATTGATATACCCATTTTGGTGGAATACGAAATGGATAAACTTGAGTCCAAGATTTTTCCAAAATTCTTCAACTTGGTCTGATTTGGTTTGGAAAAAAAATCTACGCAAGTTTCAGTGACTATAAAAATATTTTCCCCAAAATATCAAGAAGTCACTGTATTTTATCAAACTTGTTTTTAACGCTTCTGGCGTTCTGTAAGAAAATTTCCAGCCGTTTTTTGGCTTTCACTTGATCCCTCAATGTTTCCACAGTTTAAAGGTGTCGAGATTTCGTTGGGCCTGGGTGCACTTCAAACTCTTCTCTAAAATCAAAAAGCGTTTTGGTTACTAAAAACTTCCTGGTTTCAAGGTCGGTTCATCCTCAATGACAAAAAAAGAAATTTTATTATAGATAAAAAACATTCACAATTGCGATTTGTTATACATGTGCGTCGATCAGTTTTGGATATATCATAGAGAAGAAGATCGGTTACACAAGTCTTATCTAGATTGACACATTGTCAAAATACCAGTAAGGTACTGAGTTAAGATGGATAGAGTAATTTCGGATAGGGTACACCGTCTGCTCGTCACGCTATCTTATTTTCGGCCGGATAGATTCGTGCAACTTCTTAGTCTAATACCGATCCTAATCTTACTCTTATACTTTCTAGTCTCAGGGTGTTTAACTAGTCTCTGCTAGGCTCAATAGATCTAGAGTATACTGGTTTATTGCGGCGGCTGAAGTTCTCTTGGAGAGGCAACTAATTTCTAAGTTAAATTCAAATCTCTCTGGTGCTGAAATTACAAGTAATTTCAGCACTTACAAATAAAAGGGTTGTTAGTTGGATGGGTTATGATTGGTTAATATTAAATATTTTACAGTGGTAAAATATCTAATTTATCCAATAATAAAATGTAGTTTAAATCAGGTTCCAGTACCATAATTTTGGACTGTAACAGAAAACAGCTTCCAGACATGTTATCTTTACATACTGTTGTCCGTGCACCTTTTAACAAAAGACATGTCGTGCATTGGCATCAAGGTCATCTGTCAAAATTGAATTGCGGACTTTCTTTCGTTGTCTGTCTTTAATTGACTGCATAACTCAAACAAAGATAACGGGTAGAATTTTATTGGCAGAAAAAATGGTGTGAGACCCTATCATCGTATGATTTCAATACTGATTACGTAAGGATGCCACAACAAAGTATTAGGTTAACTACTACTATGTAATTGTTTGGTTGTTGTAAAACACCACGTGGGGTTGTTCCGATTAATGTTCAGCACCCCGAAATAGTTAACAAGCCGAAACCCAGGATATCGCATTATGTCAAAGTTATTCTTTCTCTATCTAACTTTATAAAGGATATAAAATGAAATCTCAAATGCAAACTACATGCAGTGCATGGTCAGCCCAGCCTAATGACATAGCAGACATAAAATTTCAATTGCTTTGGGGGGATGTTAGCTTCGTCCAAGTTTTTCTCCCAGATTCTGTTTCAGCAACCTGTATTCTTTTTCTAGTTCGAGCATTTTCAGTCCCCCATGTCTGACAGAACTCGGAAGACGGTTGTATAATTGCAAAAGGGCGTTTTGATCTTCTGCAGGGCTCTAAGCTATAGACACTTTGTTTTCAGTTTTTCCAAAAATGTAAATCTCTTTCATTATATTTGACCTGCTTACACAAACTTTCCGGACATTTTTGAAATTCTTCAAGAGCTTCTAGGGGGAATGTTGGCATTTTATTCTTAAATAGCTTTCGTCTTCAAAGCAAAAGTCAAGGTCACTTGATAAAGATTTACCAAGATAAAACTAATCTGCTGATTTCTAAGCTATCAATTCGACTTTGATGAAGCAGGCATAGCATATAGATAGCCTTTAAGCGCACAACGTACACCTGTTTATAAATGTTTGTAAATTGAGGGCGCGCCTTATTCAAGATAACGATTGGTAGATTGTTTGTCCAAAGAGTAGATTGATCGTCCGAAGTTACTCATTTGAATTTTGAACTCACTCAAACTTAGTTGCACTCAAATTGACAACACCGAAATATAAATCAGCACCCAATAACCTCTGTGAAACTTTCAATCCCATAATTTTCTAACTATTTTCAAATTTTCTGCAATTCTTCGATAATTTTCTGATCGATATGCCTAAGGTAAGTAAATAGTTTTTCTCTGTTCTAAGCACATTTTGATGCTCTGTAATCTTACTTCTTTAACCAAGGCGGGTCAAAAAAGTGAAAATTTGATCTCCGAAGTTAAACTTTAGTTTGGTCAAAAAGTTAAAATGCCAAATTTATGTGATTGAAATTGAGGCAATTTTAAGAAAATCTTACAAATCTATTTAACTCTATGAAAAAATCTTATATAGGTAACTTTCCTCGTGATAGAGCCTTTGATCTTATTGGTCCGATCACAATTTTGGCTCCCCAAGGAAAACTGAATATTTTGACCAACTTTGATGAATTTAGACCAAATTGACTGATATTCCAGTTCAATTCGGCTACAATTTCACCATTAATTTAGCTATTATATCTTCGAAATTCTTTAGTTTTTTTTCACAAGAAAAAAGGGCAGTAATTTTAGAAAAATGATGAAAATATTATCTTTAAATTCTTTTCTAGACCTCTCGTAGTCGGAATATTAAGTGCTACATTACCACCCGCCATCCCTATTAATATTTGATGGGTGTTTTAAACGAATGATGCTGAAAAAACAGCCATCACACTAATCCAGCAATAAGAAATAGTTACAGAGCTGGTTACAAAACCCCTGGACGTTCCGAACGACTGTCCCTGACTCTGGCTCAAGACTTTTTCGATGGTGAACATTTCCTTTTTTTAAATCCTCCCCCCTTGTCACGAACATAATCCAGTTCCAAAAAAGAAACGTAATTTTTTTCTTAATCTAGGCCTACCTTTATTCATTTTTGAATACTTTCGGAGTGCACTTAAGCTCCACACTCAAAAACTTCGCGCTTACTCGTTGAACGTTATATAGATTGCTTATGAAAAAATTCCAATCCTCCCCCATATCATTGTAAATCAAGATATGAATACCGTTTTCTATAAAGTAGGCAGCAAAAATAAATATTTTCAGATGATATTTTTAATAAGTGGTTGGAATGCTTTTTGCTCACTAAATTAATTGAATTTTATCGATCCGACAAGAGACTGACAAACCCCAATTGTGCGCCTATCCAGTGCACAGTTTGGCCTCGTAATGTACATGCAAAGTTTGATTATTTGTGAAGATTTTTATAAGTTACTTCTGATGATCTAAAAGACAAACGGAGCATTTTGTTACGAGCAGTTTGAATATTTCACGTTTTGTTTGAGCCCCCATAAACATTTCACTGTTAAACAAGATATGAATACCGTTCGTTATAAAAAAAAGCAGCAAAATTGTATGTTTTGATGATATTTTTGAATAGGTTGGAATGCTTTCTGATTATTTAATTGTTTGCATTTTATCAAAATTGTGCGTTAGAAAACAGTTTTTAAAGCAATACAAGCTATGAAGCTCTACGGAATTACTATCTTCATTCAAGAGGAATATGAAGTTTTTTGTTTTGCTTGAGAGAAATTCCGAAAAGTTTCAATGCATGTATTGCGTTTGCTTAGCATTAAATGCAGTTTCGTTTCCTGAAAATTTGATAAACGGCATAAAGCACAATATTGAAAAATAAAACGCTGGAAAAACACAATATATCCAAAAATACGCTAGAGCAACACAGTGAAAAAATCACTGTGTAAATCAAGTGTATTTTTATTTGGAGCTCTGAATGAAAATTTCTTTGAGCTATTAAAGAGTAAATTGCCAAACGAAGGTAAAAATTTGACTTTTTGAACTTACACGGAGACAAAAAAAACAATATTCGGTAAATTTTTCATAGGTCAGAGCAAAAATTGTTAAATGATCCAATTCCTGAATAAGTATCTAAAAAACTATTTTATCACTGTGCTTACAATTGCCATGATCTTCTTCCGTTGCAAGTTTTTTGTTTGAAAAATTCCGTTGCAGTTTCGTTCTGAAGTTATTAATCTGACTTTAAAACAAAATGACTGAGAAGTTATGATTGATTTTTTGTGCTTAGACTAACTTCAATTAAACGTAATTAATATAAGTTTTCATACCATATGTCACAATCCTGAGATCCAATTTGTCAAATCAATTGTAACTTCCGCGGAATTTTAGTGAATTAAAAGCTACCATATGCGGCGATGGTTGGTTCACATTGTAATTTGTCCACTTCACTTCATCCAAATAATGTATTAGTAGATGCAAAAAAAAGACAGCTCGTATATCAGGGCAAAGCCATGAATGTTTCGACTGCCCCTTAATTTATACCGATAAGCTTTTGAGAAAAAAAAATGAAAAACTATCAATTCCGGACCATATCAAAGATCAAGTGTGAAAGTTCAATATACGAAATTAGTACGACCGATAAGCTTAGCTAACCTCATTTCAATTTGGAAAAAATGTTTGTGCGCGATAATTCATCACGCATAAACACTTCGTGTTACGCTCCAGCATTATGAATAAAACATCAAAGCGCGCATAAATATTCCAGAGCATGACCAAATTGGTAATTTTCAAACTCCGAGAACTTTGCAAAAAAAGATCGGAGGGAAAAATATCTTTTTATATTTGATTTTTGAAGTCGATATGTTTACTGGGGTGAAAAATCATTTGTTAAAAAATTATTACTTCGATTGCCGAAAATTGACTGAATAAAAACCACCCTAAGCATCAATATTCGGTTTTCTTGAAAGTCGGAACAATAAATCATTTTGTACTCTACAAAGTTTTGATGAGGCAAAGTTTTCATAATTCCGCAACATGGTTCCGCAAAAAGGACGCTCTTTTTGTTTGTGTTTTGCTTTTTACTTTTCTTTGATCAATCCGACAAGAGACTGACAAACACCAAAATGTGCACCTACAAAAGTGCACAGTTTGGCCTCGTAATGTACATTTTATAAGTTACTTCAGATGATCTAAATGACAAACGGAGCATTCGGGGCTTCAATCTGTTACGAGCAGTTCGAACATTTTATTTGTTTGAGCCCCTATAAACGGGGCTAGGTCTTTTATCAGACCGACCTTTTACCAGACCACAATGCAATAACTCATTTATTGTAAATTAAAATTAGTGGAAAGTTTGAAAAGGAGGCGGTTAGAACAAACAAAACTTTGTTGAGAAACCGTGAAATCATTGTCTTTAACCAGACTAAACGGCACCAATACATCTGTCAATCAAATTTGTTTATCGAGTCTGGTAAAAGGTCCATGTTAAAAGTTTTCTGGTAAAAGGTCGGTCTGGTAAAAGGTCGGTCCCCCCTATAAACAAATGCTTCTAAAATTACGAAGTGACGAAGTGAAGGATAACGCTACAAATAAGTATTTTTGTAAAATTGTTTTTCTAGTTGTCTGTTTATACAAGCCATTAAGTTTAAGTTTCAAAATTACTGAATGTGTATGCATAGTTGCATAGTATCAAAACCCCTTTTAAGCAAATATCCGTCTTATTTTCAGTTTGATTGACAACAATTTTAGAAGACGTGTAAAAGTCAGGAAAGTGTTTGCATGAAAAACTACAAAACATATGAAGCAAGATTTTCTGATGGTTTTAATATTTTAGTTTTCAGACGTTGTCGACGTTACATTAAAAAAATTTAAGGTTCCTCTGTGTTTTTGGACACTCTAAAATTATTCATTACTGAGTGTTTCATTTATTATCAGATCACAGACCTGGTTACTTTTGACCATCTGGAGTCGCAAGATGGGTGCCAAACTACAGATACCATCTTCCACGTGCAGCCAGTGGGATTCGGATTCAACTTCGAGACCGCCCAGGTGAGAGTCGGATGCACTCCAGATGCGGATAAATTATTTGAATTAACTTCATGTCTTGGAATTCTTACGTGTGAGAAAAATTGGTAAAACTTTACTCTAACTTGCTCGTTTATTAAACGATCTTGATTTTTGGATCTTCTAAAACATCGTGAACCCAGTTTTGCTATGAACACCCTATCCCGCCATCCCCGTCACGCCTCGTGTTGCCACTGCCATCTTAAACTGAATTATTATACATTTACATTTTTTGAATTACTTGAACTTTCTGTGTGTGAGTTTATGTCTGTGTGTTGCGTATGTATGTATGCATGTGTATATGTGTGAGAGATACGAGAAGGTTTCTGTTCATCTTTGTGTCTGTGTGCTGTAGGATAACTCTTACATGAGCGAAGAGGAGGCCGAGTGTCTCAATGCACAGTTCATAGAGGCCAATGCCCTCCACGAAAGCGACGCCTTTGTCCAGACACTCTCAAATGCAGGTCAGAATATAATAAGTAGCAAAAATTGGAGCATACAGTTTTAATTAAAAATGGTTGCAGTCTGCCGATTTCTGCCGAATCTATGCATGCAAAGTTGAAGTTTCAGTTGACCATGAGACATTGTTTTTTACTGAGACATAGAAAATTAAACTGTTACATGCAAAAGTTGTCGGAAATAGGGCATTTGCTATTTTTTTGCAACTCTCTATAACACAAACACACAGTACAATTATTTTCAGCTACAAAAGTTAGGCCAAATTTCTTCAGAGTGGCAATAATTTAAAAAGATCAAATTTTGGTTGTGAACATTTTATTTTGACTGTGTTTTTCTAGACATAAACGCGCGGCTAAGGTCGCATATTATTATCACTCTTTTTTATTTTGATGGCCACTTTTGACTCTAGTTTTTACAAGAGTCGATGGTCTCTAGTTGATGGCCACTAGTTTTTACAAGAGTAAATCGGGTTTTTTACCTACTTGGCTTAAAATGAAATAAAATTTTCTTCAATTGACATAATAAACACAAATTTCTAATGAGGCAAATCATTTCATTGTGATTCCAACTAATCAGATTTGACAATGGTCAGCTCTCTCTTCCTCTTTTCAATGTTTTGTGAATTGCATCTTGGCAACAAAAGTAAATATAAGTATTGGACGAACTATATTTTATTATGTTCTTAGGAATTTTATTATGTTTTAGGAGTAACTGTTGTGGTCAGTCGAGGCGAGCAAAACACGCCCGACGCTGTTTTTCCCAACAACTGGTTCTCGACCCATTCGGCATACGAGGGTCACCCATACCGACTCATCCTCTACCCCATGACATGTGAGTCCAGAAGAGCCGAACGAAGTGCCGAGCGAATTCACTTAATCAAAGCCTACTGCGGGGTCGTAGATGACTCACAAGTTTTGGATCTCAGCCACTATGAGGAAGAGGGCAAATTCCTCGAAGGAACAGGAGCCTGTGTTTTCGACCGAATCAACAAAGTATGCTACGTAGGCTTGTCCAAGCGCGCTGATGCTGAAGTCGCACAAGAACTCTGTGACCATATAGGGTACAAATTGATCACTTTTAAGACCCATGATGAAACAGACATGCCTATCTTCCATACTAACGTGATGCTTAACATCGGTAACACATTTGCAATGCTCTGCGACGAATGTTTTGCTTGTGGCGACGAGCTCGAAATGGTTCAACATAGTTTGGCGACATCCGGAAGAACTGTGGTTCCGATATCATTGTTGCAAGTCCGCTTCTTCTGCGGCAATGCGCTCGAGTTGCGAGGCGAGAAAAATGGGGAGCCTATGTTTTTCATTACGATGTCGCAGAATGCGTGGGATAACTTGTTTGATTGGCAGCAATCGTTGATTCAAGAACATGTTGATGATGTAATACCGATTCCAGTGAACACAATCGAACGAATCGGAGGCGGATCAGTTCGCTGCATGATCGGACAATTGTTCACTTCGTAATCAACTCATAAATGTTAAAAATCTTGAACGGTTTTTTAGATGAGCACTATTTGTTCAATAAAAAACAAAAATGAATTTTCAGCCCCTAAAAATTTAAAAAGGAAACCAGCAAAACATTTTTTATATATTTTTTTGATGTCATAAAGGAGCCACGAAGACCAAAAGTTTCAATTGATTACAGTCTGAGAACATTTCAACCCTAGTTTGAAGCAGATGTACCAACCCTTCATAATTGGACTAGTTACGATAACTAGTGCCAAACTTGATAGTTTGTTCAAGCTTTTTGACCAAAACTGTGTAAATATCTTTTATCCTGAACTCTTAACCCCATTTTTCGCCGATTAGTTAGTTAGTTTATCTATCTATTTCTAACTGCGATTAGACTTTGCGCTTAGTTTGTAGTTATAAGTTTGTTTGAGTTGTTCAAATTCAATAGTTTTTCACCAATAGATGTTACTAGCTGACTGTTTTAAGGGATCAACTTAACAACCCCTTTCAAAAAAGGGGAGGAAAGATTGTTCAGTAGATTAACTAATCAAACTTTCCCCAATCAAAACTTTCCCCAATCAACGGTGTGGAAATAAAACTGAAATAGGCGTTAATTTTATTAAACAAAACTATCATTAGTCAAACGTTACAGATTTGTCTCAAAAAACAATACATAAATTTTCAAAAACTGAAAAAAATGCTTTATCTTTATAAGTTTTTTTGCTGCGTAAAAAATTCTGTTTTCTATTTTTAAACAAAACTGTCATTAGTCAAACGTTCAAAAAAACTACCTAGAGATTCGAAAATTATACTTATCTGATTGCAAAATTTCCGATTGCAATTTTTCGAGAGCTTCAAACAAAATGAACTAACTTTATGAGTACCAGTCAGCAAAAATTCAATCAATTTCGGTCAAAAAAGCTCTTACAGACCGACTCAGCGCTAAAAAAAACAGACATAAACAGAAAACCCGCAAAATATGGTGCCAAACTTTTCAAAAAAAAACACATTTTTTAAATGTGGTTTTTTCAGATGAAACTATTGTTGAATTAGATTTCAACTCCAATGTATATAATCGAAGACCACCAAGTATGCCTTATTATCCCAATTACATCACTCCAACAGCAAATTTGGTGTAAAAGGGTGTTCAGGCCACGTAAAATAATTAGGCAAGGGATATTGTAGTTATCGATGCGTACGTTATTCGGCCAAACATTGCAATTCACTCAAAACCATTTGATGGAGAATTTTTATCTCAGCGAAATTTTCCAGCAAAACAACGCTAGCTGCCATCCTTCGAAATTTCCACCAAACTTTTCCAAAAAAAAATATTTTGAAATTTGGATGATTGACCCAGCAGTCTCTAGATTCGAATATATCTAAAAGTTAAGGAATTACATGAAACAAAATATTCGTGAAAGGCAGCCAACAGCAATAAAGAACTTCTTTGTCAAGTTCTTTGACATTTTTTTGTCAATGCCGAAGGACAATATTCATCGATAACACCAGCAAATTCCTTATTGGTCAAGTTGAGTTTGAAAAATATTAGTAAGCATCTGAAATTATTACTTTTTGAAAAATTTAAATCAGCACTGTAACACAGGAAAGATTAAAGTAGATCCGATTTAAAGGATATTCTTACTTTTTTCTCGCAAAAAAGTAAACGGCGCATCAATAATTGATTGAACTATGCCCTGATACGAGTAGGCTTGATTTGTATAGTTTCATAGTAGTTCAGTCAGGCAAACAAATATGGCAAACAACAGAAAATTAATCAACAAGCAAAAAATCAAACAAATATGGGAAAGGAAAACTAAAGAACAGGCAAATCAGTATTATGAATTTTTGAATCATATGAAAAACCTGGAAAAAGTAATAGCGCCCTAGCATTACGTTTAATTTGATCATTTGCGCTTATACGTATCCTTACGCTTAATTTGATCAGTTCACCACTTTGAATTCATTTTTTTGCCAGAAAAAGTGCGTGAAAAGTTGCGCTAGGGTCGGTTTTTTCCACCAACAATTTTCTAAGTTTCAAAAACCTTAAACTTCTCTTAAATTTTATATATATATTCTGTTTCGGAATTTGTTCTTAAAAATTTTTACTGACATGAATATCAACAAAACTTAAGTTCCTAGAACTACAGCTTTGGAATTTTCGGACAAAAGCCGTGAGTTGGAAAACGGAAAAGTGTTGGGGCCAAAAAAATTGGTCATTCAAAACAATTACCTGAAGATTCGAAAATTAAATTTATTTGATTGCAAAAATTCCGTTTGCAACTTTTCGAGAGCATCAAACAAAATGAACTAACTTTATGGGTATCAGTCAGCAAAGATTCAATCAATTTTGGCCAAAAAGCTCTTGCAGCCCGACTCAGCGCAAAAAAAAACAGACGTAAACAGAAAACACGCAAAACATGGTGTCAAGCTTTAAAAAAACAACACATTTTTTAAATGTGGTTTTTTCAGATGAAACTATTGTTGAATTAGATTTCAGCGCCAATGTATATAATAGACGACCACCAAGTATGCCTTATTATCCCAAGTACATCACTCCAACAGCAAATTTGGTGTAAAAGGGTGTTCAGGCCACGTAAAATTAATTAGGCAAGGGATATTGTAGTTATCGATGCGTACGTTATTTCGGCCAAACATTGCAATTCACTCAAAACCATTTGATGGAAAATTTTTATCTCAGCGAAATTTTCCAGCAAAACAATGCTGGTTGCCATCCTTCGAAATTTCCATCAAACTTTTCCAAAAAAAAACATTTTGAAATTTGGATAATTGACCCAGCAGTCTCTAGATTCGAATATATCTAAAAGTTAAGGAATTACATGAAACAAAATATTCGTGAAAGGCAGCCAACAGCAATAAAAAACTTCTTTGTCAAGTTCTTTGACATTTTTTTGTCAATGCCGAAGGACAATATTCATCGATAACACCAGCAAATTCCTTATTGGTCAAGTTGAATTTGAAAAATATTAGTTTTTAGTTAGCATCTAAAATAATTACTTGTTGAAAAATTTAAATCAGCACTGTAACACAGGAAAGATTAAAGTAGATCCGATTTAAAGGATATTCTTACTTTTTTCTCGCAAAAAAGTAAACAGCGCATCAATAATTGATTGAACTATGCCCTGATACGATTAGTCTTGTTTTGTATAGTTTCACAGTAGCTCTGTCAGGCAAATAAATATGGCATATAACAGAAAACTAAAGAACAGGTAAAAATCAAACAATTATGAGAAAGGAAAACTAAAGAACAGGCAAATCAGTATTAGGGATTTTTGAATCATACGAAAAACCTGGAAAAAATATTAACACCTTAGCATTACGTTTAATTTGATCAGTTGCGCTTATACATATCCTTACGCTTAATTTGATCAGTTCACCAATTTGTATACTTTTTGTGCGGGAAAAAGTGCGTGAAAATTTTCGCTAGGGGTGGTTTTTTCCCACGACAATTTCCTACGTTTCAAAAAAACTTAAACTTCTGTTAAGCTTTTTATATCTTTCGAAAAAATATATTGTTGTTTTGAGCTCAAATTAAAAAAATATATTTAACAGCGATCAATTTTTCTAAGAAAATGGGGTTAAAATATTGCTAATTTAGCCCTTAGGGAATAATGCGATATAATTCATGCTATTAACAAATAAGCAGATATTCCATCCGTCTTAGAAATAGTTTCACCTTAAATTGAGGCTCAATAGTTGATCCATTTCAAATTTATTTTACGGAAAACATCATTTTTCACTTAACAAAGCGTGAAGGGGGATAAAAAAATTCAAAATTTCCTTACGATGTCGCAGAATGCGCGGGATAACTTGTTTGATTGGCAGCAGTCGTTGATTCAAGAACATGTTGATGATGTAATACCAATTCCAGTGAACACAATCGAACGAATCGGAGGCGAATCAGTTCGCTGAATGATCGGACAATTGTTCACTTTGTAATCAAACCAAAAATGTTAAAAAGTTTGAACGATTTTTTAGGCACTATTTGTTCAAAAAAAAACAAAAATGAATTTTCAGGCCCTAAAAATTAAAAAAAAAAACAAGCAAAAAACTTTTATCTTTTATTGTTTTTGATGTCATAATGGAGCCAAGAAGGCCAAAATTTTCAATTGGTTACAATCTGAGAACATTTCAACCCTAGTTTGAAGCAGATGTACAAATCCTTCATAATTGGACTAGTTACGATAACTAGACCAAACTTGATAGTTTGTTCAAGGTTTTTGAAAAAAATTGTGTAAATATTTTTAACCCCATTTTTCGTCGATTAGTTAGTTAGTTTATCTATCTATTTCTAACTGCGATTAGACTTTGTGCTTAGTTTGTAGTTATAAGTTTGTTTGAGTTGTTCAAATTCAATGTATTCTGACCAATAAATGTTACTAGCTGACACCTTTAGAGGATCAATTTAACAACGCTTTCAAAAAAGGGGAGGAGAGATTGTTCAGTAGATTAACTAGTAAAATTTCCCCAATCAAAATGCAGTAAAATTAAATTTCTCAAAAGAAAACTAACTATTTAGTATTTGCGGACTAGTGGTGTGGAAAGTAAATTGAAATAGGCGTCAAAATTTTGAAACAACACTATCATTAGTCAAACGTTACAGATTTTTGTCTCAAAAAACAATACAAAAATTTCAAAAAATTAGAAAAAAAAATGCTTTATCTTCATAAGTTTTTTTGCTGCGTAAAAAATTCTGTTTCGGAATTGTTCTTAAAAATTTTTACTGACATGAATATCAACAAAATTTAAGTTCCTAGAACTACAGCTTGTGACTTTTCGGACAAATGCCGTGAGTTAGAAAACAGAAAAATGTTGGGGCCAGAAAAGTTGGTCGTTCAAAACAATTACCTGGAGATTCGAAAATTAAACTTATTTGATTGCAACTTTTCGAGAGCATCAAACAAAATGAACAAACTTTATGGGTATCAGTCAGCAAAGATTCAATCAATTTTGGTCAAAAAACTCTTACAGCCCGACTCAGCGCCAAAAAAAACAGACATAAACAGAAAACCCGCAAAATATGGTGCCAAACGTTTAAAAAAAAACACATTTTTTAAATGTGGTTTTTTCAGATGAAACTATTGTTGAATTTGATCGTTTGCGCTTATACGTGGTTTTTTCCCACGACAAATTTCTACATTTCGCAGAAACTTTTGTTACACTTTTTTTATATTTCGAAAAAAATATTGTTGTCTTGAGCACAAATTAAAAAAATATATTTCACCAGCGATCAATTTTTCTAAGAAAATGGGGTTAAAAGATTGATAATTTGGCCGTTAGGGAATAATGCGATAAAATTCATGCTAATAATAAATAAGCAGATATTCCATCCGTCTTAGAAATAGTTTCAACTTGAATTGAGGCTGAATAGTTGATCCATTTCAAATTTATTTTACGGAAAACATCACTTTTCACTTAACAAAGCGTGGAGGGGATAAAAAAACTCAAAGTTTCAAAC